AGATAATCTTCTCACCTTTGCTTCCCAAAGTACTGAGATTACAGGCGTATGCCATCACTCCTGGTTTGCCTGGTAGTTTCTTATGCGCAAAGACTTGTCTCTTGATCCTGCATGTAAGTATAGACGCTCCACCCTGTATCCTTCTCTGCATCCCACGGTAAAGATGCAGCAGAAGACCCCACAGACATACAAATGCCTTCTCACTGAGCTTGCGTGCTGTCGGAGGAGAGTGCATTGAAGACTGCAATCCGAGGTATAAGAGAAGGACCTAGGTACTAAGGAGAAGAATAAAGCAGACGGGGGGCGGTGGGGAGAGAGTGCCAGGAAGGCAGAGGACAATGGAAATTTCAAGTCTGGTAGTCAGGGATCACCTCGCTGAGAATTGGCACGTGCACCAAAGCTGGCGTGCTGCAGTCAGGGGATCTGCCAACATGGTCCCATAAGCTGTCTGCAAACTGCCTTTGCTCAAGCAGTGAACTTGAAGCAATGATACGGGGAAGTGCCGCCCGACCAGCATCACTCATGAAGTGTATCTCCCTCCCTGTCACGTCTAGACATCCCGAGTCACATTTAGGTCTTCGGTCTCAGAACTAGGACTGATGCCAAACACTTCCTGCAACTTTTCACATGATTCCAGTTCTTCTCCTTCTCTGTCTCCTCCTCCTTCCTTTTTCTCCTCTTTCTCCTCCTCCTTCCTCCCTTCTTTCCAAAATACAGTCGGAAGCCGGCGTACACATGCACTGTGCTATTGAAGGGTCAGTGGGCTGACCGGGTAAAAAAGATTCAGATCAGAGTCCCACCGCCATGGGAGGTAGTCTGCTTGTCTTTCCTCATTTACTTGGTGAGTGATAAACATTAAAAAAGATACTACCTGCGAGGAACAGTCTGCTCAGACTAATAAAGGAATACATAAGTGCCTTTGATCAAAGCTTGCACTGTGATGCGTAATCTGTCCCTTTCAAGTTTTGTAATCTGCACAAAATGACTTTAGATAGTTATATTAAAAGATATAGATCGAGTTAAATGCAGTGGAAAGAACACGACATAAGAAAAAGCTAGACGCTGGTCTCAGCAAAGTGACTTTCCCGTTGAAACTAAATATTAACTGCACCTAATATTTTGATCAGTGCGCTGATCTCTGAGAAAAGGGCTCTCTCTGAGGTTCAATTTCCTCCTGCCTAAAATGAGGTCATTGCTGCACAATCTACCTACTTTCCCTTTCTGCATCGAGTTCTTATTAGGTTCAACTTAAAGAAAGTGAAAAGCTGAATAGTTTGCAACATATTCTGTAGATGGGAGAACCTGTTTATTAAACATTAAAAAAAGTCCCGTGCCTCCTGTACTGGCGGCAAACCCACGACTCCCTCAAGCATAAATAGTGTGCACAGATCGGTATGCAAAAGTGACAGCACCACACTGAAGACATGATGTTGCCATATTCATCTGAATCAGGTGCAAATCCTGATGTGTGCCACGGCTTATTGAACTGCTGCAACGTAGGCCAGCTGTGGTGGCTCATGCCTATAATTCTAGCACTTTGGGAGGCTGAGGCCCGAGGATTGCTTGAGCCCAAGAGTTTGAGACCAGCCTGGGCAACATAGTGAGACCTTGTCTCTAGAGACAAACAAGGAAGCAAACAAACAAAACACAAAACAAAATAAAAAAAAATAGCTAATTGCTACAATGTACAAGAGTGACAAAATTAGAAACTCACACCAATAATGCAAGTCTTTTTTTTTTTTTTTGTAGAGGGTCTGATTAAAGTTATGCATCAATGACAAAATCCACAAGATCTCCAAGACCTGTTAGAATGACATTGAAGTATCACGTCTAATTAAAAGAATTGAATTTTTTGGCTAACACTGTATGCAGGTTAATGTGATCTCAGTGTCGTCTATCCTCTAGATTTTCTTCTAAAAATATGGAAAGAAAAATCATTCATTTTGTTCTAACCACTCAGGGCTAAAGGATGAATCCTGGCTGCTTGCTAAAAACACACATTGTAACTCCCAGCGTTTCAGAAATAATGCTATAGAAACACTAACTATCATCACAACCTCATTGTGGCTTCAATCAAACAGCTTCTGGTTTAATAGTTGTGTTGATTAATCACCCATGACCAGAGTTAACAGTAACTCTTTCTGCAATTATCAACACATTTCAGACAAATGTTTTTCTTTTAAAACTGAGGAGGCTAACTTTCCAGGTTAGGGATAAGTGTTATTGTTGTTGTTGTTTTTAACACAACCTTTTTCTTTTTTGCCATCAGACTAGCATTAAGAGTGAAGCATAAATAAGCTTGATTTTTGTGAAGTCAATTCCTTTCCTTGTAGCATAAAGTATTTAACAGGTGACAACTTGAAACAGTGGAAGGAAAGCAGTCTTTCCTGACTGGACACTTCAGGACATGTGAGCAAATATGCTCAGTGAATGAATGCATTTATTTCTCTCTCATGTTTTACTTTTTTGTATTGTATTTCAGTTTCCACTTAGGCAATTAAAAAGTGAGGGAACAATAGAGTGTGCAATGAAATGGTAACCATTTCCTTTCTTTTTTTGTTTAATTTTTGGGCTCTTTTTCAAAATCCATGTATGTTTCAATTGAATACCATCCTCAACTGCACAAGCACAGATATAGAAGAAATACAGAAGAAACGATGGTTGTGTGTACTGATTTGTTTATGAGTCTCCTCTCATATTTGAACCCACACTTTACAGTGATGCCAGGGACACTGATGAGATATTGTGGTTACTGTCAGTCACTCTCTAAAGTGAAAGAATTATCTTAGAGTCTCTTACTTCCACAACTCAAGATATTCTTCTCTCTCTTTCTCTCTCTCTCTCTGTATGTGTGTGTGTCTTCTTTTTTACAATCCACTGAAAGCATGATGTTTATCTTTTAAAATAAATATATATACATATATAAAGCAAACACACCGAAATGTCCTTATTTGGTCAAACTGGGCGTTGGGTAGGTATGTGTTTCATTGTATCATTCTACTTTCCTGAACATTTAAAAGACTTTAAATTTTTAAAAAAATATTTAATGAGAAGGAAGTAAACGTAAAGCCTCTACTTTCTGAGAAAAGAATTGCTCGTCAGACTCACTCAATTCCAAAGGACCTAAAGACAGAATTTCAGAGTAATCTGTTTTGTTTTTATGTATTTAGTTATTTGTTTTAGAAGCATGGGAGGCATTTGAAGATGTGTTACATAGGCATATGGCCAGAAGGCGGGGTTTGGGCTTCTGACGAGTTCTTCCCCCACCCTGCCCCAGTAGTGAGCATGGTACCCAGTGGGTACCCAAAGCGTGCCAATGGGTCTCCCTTATCCCTCTCTCCTCTCTTTTTAGCAGTAATCAGTATCTGTTCTTTTCATTCTTCTGCTTATGTGCATCCTTCTGCCTATGTGAGCCCACTGGGTGAGAACATACAGTATTCAGTGTTTTGTGTGTGTATGTGAGTATTCTTTCAAATAAAACCAAATACAACAAGAAAATCCTAGCGTCATGTTATTCAAGAACTACTGCTGTGCAATTACTTAGTTTTGAAAGTCTCAGCAATGATTCAGCTGAAATAATGTCTGTTACCTATAGACTTTGTGAACTATGCACTGTTTGACTCTCACATCTGTGTCACTGACTCTGGAGTGGTTAGCTGACATCATTTTGGGTTAGTAATTCCTCCTTCCTCTTTCCTTTTATATCCGATCTTTTCGCTCTGATGTGCATCCATGACAACACAGACTGAGTAAGCTTCCTCCCTCAAACTGTTATTTAAAGTTCAACTTTCATTATTAGTTTTTTTAAAAAGAAAAAGAACAAAAAAGATAACAAAGGAAAAGATTGGGTGGCACAGACAATTAACTCATGACTCATGAGTACCAGAATTCTCGGGTCTTTGTTCTTCGTCATAGACAGATGAGTGTGCTAGCGTCAATCTCTGCCTGTTTCACCTAGATCGGGCCTCTTTTGGGCATATTTGGCAATTCAGAACCATCTGCTCATGTTGTCGCTGGAGCAAACTCCTCATTTTTGGCCTCATCAATTATCATACATTTGTACTTACAGATGTTCTCCTTATCAGTTCTTAAAAATGTAATTTGTGCCTCCTTTCCCATAGTTGTTGTGTTTTACTAAAGCCATTGGCAACCATTGTTTCTGCCACTCAGGCAACTTCAGTTGATTTATAGCTAGAGACCTCCAAGTGATCCCTGGTGTCATGGACTCCATTGTTTTTCATTATTGCTCTGATGTTACCATCTCCTTTTCCTTAAAAGGAATCAAGGATGGTGTTCCGATGTTGTTTAAGGTAGTAAACAAAATCCAGAAACATTTCCTCCTGTTTCTGGTAAATAATTCCCAGGTTATTTTGTCTCAGGTGACTTCCTTTTATCCTGCATGTCTGGCTCCCATCCGTCCCTGGACTCTGCCTTTCGAACGGATCACAGACCATAATGAAATGCTTCCAATTACATGACAAAGCTTTCCTGGCAAATGAGATTGAAAGAACTGTAGTACTGTCCCTGTGTGGTGGGTGAGAGGGCAAAGGGAGATAGGTTAAAGGGGGCCAGTGTGAGACTTGCACGAGCTGGGGAAGTCCAGGTTTAACAAGCTCTTGTGAGGTGCCAGCTCCGAGCAAAGAAACCAACCTCCCTTCACATGCCGGCTTCTCTGACTTCTGTGATACTTAGAGACTACAAAAAGCTTTAGTGACAAGGTATGAGTCTGACACAGCAAACAGAATGGGGCTTCATGAGCTTCTGTCATGGTTGTAAAAGGAAGCCTCTTAGACTTCCTCTTCTGTTGGCTGTGTGGTGCTAAAATCAGTAAATCAGAAAGACTGACACATTTCCAGGGAATACACATAACGTCCTGTCTTGCCAAACACATCAAAGGAATTTGTTTTTGCCAGGAAGACTCTGGTGGCTCCCTGCGGTGACTCAGCACGCTTTTTTAAAATCCTAAAGTGGTATTTTCTCATAGCTTGTAGGTCACCAACCTGCCAGCCTTGTAATTTACACTCCTGGAGGACAAGCCGACATCTCTCCGCAGCGGACTTCTTCTCACCCAGAAATGTATCAGCCAGTGGCTTATACCTGTGAAAAGCAGCAGGGACAGAAAGCTATGACTGGATTTACCAAGCAGATGATTGTATTCAACAGGGCTGTCTTCGCTACATGGTTTCTCAAAATTGTCCCCATTTCACTATATCCCAGGAATATCCAAATATCCGTCCTTTGGGCATTTACCAGGCAACTGTGAATAATCCTTATTTTTTACAGGGAAGATGATTTTTACAATGAGTCAAATATATTTTTCCATCCTTTATGTTTAGCATTGTCGTGGAGTGATCCAAACCATTTTAAAAAAGGAAATCAGAAGACAATAAAAATTAATCTATTACTCATCATTTAAACATTTAGTATGTTCTTAAAAAAATACACATCTTAAGAAATGCACGCATTCTTTATGGCCACTTAAGAGTGACTCTAGCTGGAGAGTTCATAATAAAGGTATATCAAAGCACCCAGAAGTCCTATTTGAGAGGTAGAATAGCTTCCTGCTCATATATTAGGTGTTGGATATTTAAAAAATTCTAGAAAGACACTTTTATTTTGGAAAGTAGCTATGAGTAACTGACTTCCACTCTCTAGCTGGAATTCATAGAACTGTAATAGTTTCCTATAGATTTTTTCCAAAATGACTTCCAAAATTATATTGCCTGTTGAAAAAAAATTATTTCAAATTTCCTTTACACTTATAGTATTTAACCCAACATTTAGGCAAGACTGCACTAGAAGAGGAAGAAGAGGAGAAAGCAGGAAGGAAACCAGCAAAGGTCACCGCCATGGCGTCCTGTTGCATTCTGTGTTTATGATTCGCGTGCTGGTCTGCTTTGTAAGCTGATGGAAACTCAATGCCAGCACTTGAATCGCATGAGTTCTTTGTTACTTTCTGTATAATACCTTCATGTTTCATCTAAAGTTCATTGCAGCAAATTTGGCGTCTTCGCAAATGAGGTTTTTTTTTTTTCAGTTTCCTTAGTGCAATTGAGAAAGGGAGTGTTTCGCCTACTCATCTTTATTTCCCAACCTCCCTTCGAGCAAGCAGTGAGAGAACTGGGTATGAAACACTTCTTTATTCTGCAAGCGCAATGGATAAATGAGGGCCCATGTGTGGGCAGTGCGGCAGGACCCGTGGATCTGGTGAATGGCATCGTCTGAGAAACTATACCATGGACTGGATGTGTGTCTCCCAAATTCATGTCCTAACCCCCAGTGTGATTATGTTAGGTTCAGAGTCTAAGCCCCTGTGTGGTGGTATTAGGGGATGGGGCCTTTGGGTCATGAAGGGGAACCCTCACCAATGGGATATGTGTCCTTGGACGAAGCTAAGAGATTAGAGCAATTTCCTTCTACTGTGTGAGGACACAGAAGCATGAGGGGACTCTTTGGGAACAGAAGGGTACCTTTTCTGACTCTTGATCTTGGACTTGCCAGTGTCCAGGGCTGTGAAAACTTTCTTTTGTGTATGAGTCACTCAGTCTATGGTAATTTGTTACAGCAGCCTGAACTGACCAAGACAGTCAGTCCCTATGTAGTTTTCCAGTAGAAAACATCACTTATATATTCTCTTCATTCCTTGGCATTCTCACTGGAAACTCAGGATATGATGTTTCCTGGATTGAGAATCTTCACAATCTTGCTGGCCATGAACCAGTCAAATGAATCTGTCAGCATCAGCAACAACCCTTTTTCGCATGTATAGATTTTTCTCATGTATCAAACCCAGGGTATAGGAGGGCATAAAAATAGTCAGTAATGGAGACTGTGCACTAAAACTGTAATGCCAGAGGCAAGATGTAAAAAAGTGGGCTCATCGATATGATCACACCAAATAGACTTAAATGATTTGTGGATGACTAAAGTATTCATTATTCTTTTTTGATAGGCGACAAGAATGTGATTTCTTACACACCAGGCACTGAAGTTGATATCTATGTTTTTGTTTTCCTGTTCATATTGTGGCTGCCACAAATGAAAAAAAAAGGGGGGGGATTTCCTGTGTACAGCAAAGCAGAGCAAACAATTGTAATAAAGTCTGTGTGAAGGGTCTGGAACTGAATGAGAACTCTGCAAAAAACAGCATGTGTGACCACTTAGAAGGTTACAGGTGTCCCCTAAGCATTCTGTCACATGACATCAGCACATCTCAGAAGCAAACATATATTTTGTTTAATAATATCTTCACGGTTCAAAGGTGATAAGTGATCTAATTTTACAACATATTCTAATAGATAAGAAACTGAATTGGGAATCTAAAAATTGAGATTCAGTTTCCAACTTTGTGACAAAGTTGGCAAGGTGCCTGTGGCAAGTCACCTAGCCAGCAATTCTCTGTCATCCCTCAGGACTTCACAAATTCCATTCTGTATAAAAAACTCCTATTTGTCCTCAAAGTACACGAGCTTCCCCAAGGTTGAGTGGCTGTCTTCACACATTTTATGGTGTCTACTAGAATGCCTTAGTATGGAGCAAGTGCGAATAAAGGATAGAGGCCAGGAAATGAGGCTGGGGATTGGGAGATGGGAAGTCCTATTTCTTGAGCATTGGATGAGTGCAAGGGGCTTTTCATGTCACTTCACTCGCTCCTCACAACTGTAAGGGCCTATGAAAATCCTTTTTTGAAAGTGAGAAAGCTGGTGGTCATGAACTAAATCATGTTGCTCAAGCTCACAGAGATGGTGTTATGGGTTGAATTCTGTCCCCCAAAAGATTAAGGACTGTGACCTTAGTTGGAAACAGAGTCTTTGCTGATGTCAAGTTAAAATGAGATCATTAGGGTGGGTCCTCATCTAATATAACTCAAGTCCTTAAAAGAAGAGGGAAACATTCTGTGAGACACAGTCAAATGCCACATAACGGGGGCAGAGGTCAGAGTGATGTGGCAGTAAGTGAAGGAACGCCAAGGATCCATGTTCACCCCAAAGCTAGGAAAAGGCTGTGAAGGATTTTACCAGGTCTCAGAGGGAGCATGGCCCTGCCCACACCTCAATTTGGAATTTCTAACCCCCAGAACGGTGAAAGTAAATCTTCACTGTTGTAAGACTCTTAGGGTATAGTACTTTGTTATAGCAGCTCTAGGGAATGACTGAGATGGTAGAAGTGACTGGACTGGAATCTGAACCCAGGACAAGCAAACTCCATAGTCAGTCTCTTCACTGTCTTTGTTAGAGCCTGGCTGACAACTAATGAGTTCCTGACCCCAGATGGTTCTAGAGTGAAAAGGGAAGAGATTGACATTAAAAAATGGAAAAGGTATCACTCAAGAGTAATCACCATTGTATTGGACACGCAGAGAGAAGGATACTGGGTCTGCTGGCCTTCAAGAAATGGAGGCTTTTTAACAGTAAACTCATTCATGCCCTCAGGAAAATCAGCATTTTTCTACCATTAGCCCGAGTCACACAATGAGATGCAATCACGCCAATTATCTTTTTTTATTCTCTCTTATTGTCTCATTCTGAAACTTTGTTAACGAAGATCGAGAATTTAATTGATATGATTCAAGTACCTGAATGCAGCATTAAGAAATGAGAATGAAAAATCTTGCATTTGATACCTTTTATCTCATTTTATATTGTTCTTTTGACACTTGGTACCATAAAATGGCATAATGCTGACATTTCAAGTGAAAAGGAAAAAAAAAAACACCATCTTAAACAGGGTGAGATACTCTATTTTCGTTGCAAAAAGTCTTGTCTTTTGGAATGTGCGTGTCATCCATAGGTGGTGTTACTGGTATAGAAGATGGTAATCACATTCCATCATTGAGCTAAGACACGCTCTCCCAGTCACACCAATCTGGTTGGTTTCTTTAGGGTCATACACGTCTGCCTAACTGGGCAGAGCAATATCACTCGTTTATGACACAAATTCACCTTCCATTGTGGGGTCAAATACTCAGTGCCCACACAGGGCTTCCCCTCAAGCTTGCTGTGACATTGGATGCTCCATTTTCCTCACGTTTCTTGTGAACAGGTCTCTGCCCCCTTCCAGCTTCCCATCTTCTTGCTAGTCCACATCCTAACTTGCCAGTATATCATAAGTATGAAGGAAAATTCTGTGATGGTCACGGAATAACTCTCCAACACGGACAAGGTTCTTTAAGTGTTTTTTTGACATCAAGGATTTGAGTATAAAAACTCCCAATACACACATGCATCGTGGTAGCATTAAAATAAAAGAAACCATTATAACGAACGAAAATATAAGTTAAAGAGTTGCATCACAGAATGTCTTCACTTTGGAGTCTATATATTTTAAAAGGGACAGGCTGAAATGGAAAAAGTAGAGAAAATCTAACAAAAATTGTGAGATAGAAAGTAGAACCTGGAGAAAGTGGTAAAAATAAATGTGTTTCTCTCTTCTGACATGATTGTTCCTTCTAGTTTAAAGGAGAACTGTGACATTTTATCTTTTATGAACCTAGAGACAAAAAAGAGCTTATTCAAGTGATCACAGAATTTAGGTTAAACATGGCAAGTTTTAATTGACTACTTCAAAAGGCTACAAGGAAGTGGTAAAATCATTTTCTTTGCAAAATACAAGGTACATGTATCAAGCTATTTTTTTAGCCTCAGATGCAGTTTCTCTGAAATTGTTTCTGTTTGCTAACTATTGACTTTACTTTTTCACTCTCGAAGAAAATTCTGTTTTAAAAGTAAAAATTATGTTGTTCCCTTAGAAATTTAATTGTAAATGAAAATTCTAATTTCACTACATATGGTCAAGTATAAAGCATGAAATTGGTGGGGGAGAAAATTATATCCCATAAAAGATGTGACATTTTCTTAGTTCGAGACCTTCTGAGATGTATCTTATCATGGTCCTATTTTAATAACTTCGTTGTGAAAAACAAAATAATGTTTTGGGAGAAGCATTAACCTACTCATCTCTCAGGAATAATCAATGAAAAGATAAATCAATGAAAAGATGAAAACAGAAGGAGAAAAATGAAATCTTCTAAGAGCTGCAGATTGGAGGATCGATAGAGAAAGAGAACAGAGAAGTGGAAGGGAAGGAGTAGTGGAGGG